CGTATTTATCCGCGGGATAGATTTCTAGTAAACATCAGACAGTATCAGACTAATTAGAGGTCTATTGATTCGTTAAGAAGAGTTTATATGTCTGATCTGTGCTCATGACCCTTGGTAGAAAAACACTGCAAGAGCTTTCACCACTTCACCTTCATTGATTTCGCACACACATTCGTCATTTTCACATAAAATCTTGATCAATTTGGTGTGAAAACGCATTGTATGTGCGTAACCACGAAGGCTGGTGCATTGCAGTATTGGCTATTGGCTTGATGAGATCCCTTGGGATCTGAGGACTACGTATCAGCGACTTGTTAATCTAATATACCCTTCTGGCCTACAAATGGTTTGTTTGGTTAATCATGCTACAGTATAGCTACAGGTACCGTGCAATAACATTTACGTAGGGTGTGCTTTCTCAAACTGTCAGGGTTTGATCAAGCATAAACCGATTCATTCGATATAGAAATTGGAAGGGAAGTATAGTTGTTGTGGGTTTGTGTGTTTACAAGATGAGAGAGAAAAGTGAGTATAATCTTATTCCATTTTTCATATACTTTAAAGCTTGGTAATTTCTCGAAGTGAAATTCATTAGCTAAACGACTACAGATGACCGCAACTAGTTTTGAGATGGATGTCGAAAGTAGCAAACTGAAAAAGTATGCATGTAATTTGTAACTATATCTTCCTTTTTTTCATCCTTGCAGCTGTAGAAAATGGTAAACAAAAATTAAAAAAACTGCGAAATGTTTAAAGTTACATTAAGAGAGAAAAAATCTACAATTTGCTTAATGGTCACTTTGAGAATGAATAAGTGTTGTTTCAAAAATTTGCATTTGTGTATCATAGTTAGTTTCTGAAGATATTTGAGTAAATCAGATTTGATTGATTTGAAAATGATAAAAACAGAGTAGAGTCAAAATAGATATTAAATTTTGAAAATGATAAAACACAGTTGAGTCAAAGTACATATGAAATTTTGAAAATGATAAAACACAGTTGAGTCAAAGTACATATGAAATTTTGAAAATGATAAAACACAGTTGAGTCAAAGTACATATGAAATTTTGAAAATGATAAAACACAGTTGAGTCAAATTATAGATAAAAATATCTGAGAAGAAATATCAAACGTCAGAAATAAAACTCTATTCTGTTAATAACTTTGTAGATAGTCTTGTAAAAAGACAACAAAATCAACAGTTTCTGTACGGCAATTAGGGATTGTCTTGTCAGTCAGTTTAGTGGAAGTCAGTGTCAGATTAATGAGTTTCAGCTGTATATATTTCCTACAGATTATCACAAATTTGCCCTGGTGTGTCATCAGGAAACTTCACCATCTAACCCTTCACGGCATGCTCGACTGCCTAGATCTGGCAGCACCGCGACATACCTTGAAAGGCCATGCGATTCCATTGCTCCAGAGATCAATGCCCACAATCAATAATGTTTCATGTTACATGATTGGGCCATGGTTAGTCAGCCAGCTGTGGTTTCAATGGAACTATTGTTTGGTCAATGAGTTGGCCACGGCCACAAATGTGGCAAATCTGGTGGCACTTACAATCATACAGTGGCAGTTTATTTAATGTGGTGCTTACTACAGATTACAGCATTTCCTTCATCAGATTTGTGTAGGAGATTCTGAAGGAATGTTGTTTGGGGAAAACTGAGGTTGAACATGTGTGTTAGGGACTCTATTTCAACATGTGTGCTATTTCTACAAAATATGTGTAGAAATAATTTGTTTTGAACGTACCGCAACAGGGTTTCAAGCACATGTAATCAGGACGGTAATCAACAAGTCTGCCAATATTTTGAGTTGCTGTCATTTGAAATACATCTGTTTGAATCGGATGATGGTATTCTCTGGATTACAAATCATCTTCATACTATGAGGTTTGGAATACAGACCTGGATTTTGTGTGTCAGTTAAGCCAAACAACACAACTCTATATATAGACGGTAGGGTTTTCTCTCCAGGAGAATATCAATGTGGATGAACAGGAATCTTGAAGGATAGAAGTGTATTTTGTGAACTTGTATTTGTGTTTATATTGTTGTTTAAATATTAGGTCTATTCTAAATTGAAAATTGGATCGCAGATAGTCTGTGACATCTTGAATGGTTATGTTGATAATACAATGAAATCAAATTGTTATATTCAATTTATCATTCTATTAAATTCTAAAACAAACTATGGAGATAGTTTTTGTGGAACATCGTTGTTCTGGAATTTGAATTTTCTGTTGTAATCTATAATAAACTTTTTATGACAAAAATGATTTTTTTAGATGCAAAATTTATCAAAAAAAAGCAAACAAGCAAATATATCATATATCTTTCTGGAAACAGAATAGATGTGAGGTAAAATAATTCAAATTGTTGTTCTCTCTATTGATAAAATGAATATGTGTGGTAGATCATGTTTAAAGGAGTGATAACCATTGAAGATCAGTGAATTAGGACACTGTGTAGGACTGTGAATTAGGACACCATTATAGGTCTGTGAATTAGGACACTGTGTAGGACTGTGAATTAGGACATCACTGTCAGTCTGTGAATTAGGACACTGTGTAGGTCTGTGAATTAGAACATCATTATAGGTCAGTGAATTAGGACATCATTGTCGGTCTGTGAATTAGAACATCATTGTATGTCTGTGAATTAGGACACTGTGTAGGTCTGTGAATTAGGACATCATTGTAGGTCAGTGAATTAGGACAACATTGTAGATCTGTGAATTAGGACATCATTGCAGGTCTGTGAATTAGGACATCATTGTAGGTCAGTGAATTAGGACATCATTGTAAGTCTATGAATTGGGACACTGTGTAGGTCTGTGAATGACAACATTGTAGGTATGTGAATTAGGACACTGTGTAGGTCTGTGAATTAAGACATCATTGTAGATCTGTAAATTAGGACATCATTGTAAGTCTGTGAATTGGGACAAGTCCTTTGGGACCATCTGTTGGTTGTTATGTTGATGAATTATTCATTCTTGCTCTAAAAACTGTAACTAGTGTAGAGGTTTAACATATTTATATGACCAGGCAAGAGGAAAGGTCAGTGGTTTATGGTGGGTGTGTAATGGTACTTATAAAATTTAACTGTACACTTGAGTCTAATATCACAAACAAAGAACTAGGGAAGTTGTTTGTGAATATAGCACTAGATCAAAATATTATTTTTGTGTTGACTAGTGTGACAAAAAGTGATTCAATGGTTAACTGAATTTAAACAAATTTGTAATTTACAAAGTTAAAAGTATTTTTTCTGCTATATTCGTACTGATAATGGAAATGATATTTTATTTTAGATAAATCTGACTGAATGGTGGACTTCGTATAAAACTCATTCTTTGTGGGTTTTTTGGGTTTTTTTTTTTTTTTTTCATTGCAAGCAAACCCCATATTCCTGGAAGATATACAAACGTGGGGCAGCTGCTTCAGTGCAGTTTGGCTGTTAAACTGTCACTCTGTCTCAGGATAGAATTATTTACCAACTGGTTTGGCTTTAGACAAATATAAATGATAATACAAAGTAAATATTGTATTTTGAAGAATAGCATCTAACGGTATAGAAATGATTGTAGTGTATTGATTCAGCTCTGAGTCATATCACATGAACACATCCCAGAGGCCTATTTTTACGCAATTTCACTGCACCATTCTATCTTGTCAAAAAGTGTTTTGAGATCTCAGATAGGGTCAGAAATTGATTTTTTTTTTTTTCTTTTAAGTTTGATCTGAAAAAGAAATGCCAGAAACAGGAAGTGTTTTCTGTCACTATTGATTTGATACGTATTTGTATATTTTTTTGTACATAAATGATTATTTTACAGTCATTCCTGTTGAAATATTCCCTGAACGTTAGCGTACAGTTAATATTTCAAACTGGGAATCATCTACTAGAAAGTAGGTCACAAAAGCATATGTGTTGTTTGTATATGGGATCTAAATGCTATAAAAACATACAGATATGTTATCTCGTCATTGATTTTCATCCTTCAGCTTCCAGACCAGTTTCATCCGACTAGGGAACTTTAGCCTTATTCATCAGCCACAGTGTACATTAGGAATTAGGATACGACACGCTACTTTTTTCTTTTTTTCTTTTTTATCGGAGGCATAGGGTAATGGGGACATATCAAGCAGGAGGTTTTGGGGGAGATTTGAGTCACGGATTTGGAAGATTTTTACAGCCTCAAATTCCCAGCATGACTCGTATGACTCAAATTTTTGTATTCCATTGTTGAAAGAAATGCATGAATTCTCAATAATGGAAATTCTATTACACTCGTTCAAAATATTTCGTACCTTCCACACAAAAAAAAAAATCTAATACTTCGTTTATAAGATAAGATACCCTGTCACTGTTTCCAGGTATTGAGAGGCGTGAAGATATGGCGTCTGCCACAACAGCTTCATCAGAAAGAGGTTAACTTTATATAAGATATTCTGAACATTGTATTCTCTATGTGTTGTGTAATCAAAATATTTTATTTTTCACATTTTTCTATAAAAATTTCAGTCAGTTTTATGTTGTCTTGTATTTCCTAATGTCTCCATATATGAGTACAGTTCTTTGATAATTGTTTCCGACTTGTGTTGAAAAAAATTTGAGATTTTCTTTCTTTCCCCTTTTTTGATAAATTTGTTTAACAAAATAAATAGTTTTTTTTTCTTTTGGAACTGTGTTTCAGCTCAAAAAATAATTTACTGTGTTAACCATCAAATCAAAATACCAGTATGCTCCTCTTGAAAAACTCCATTCATTGTAACCATAGAGACAAAATTACCCCAGTTTAAAGCCAATGTCAAACTTAGAGACTTGTAAACAATTTTACAGTGATTGTAATTGGATGTGCTATATATGGTGGCATGATTTAGATAATTATCGACTGTTTTTTACTTTCTATGGATATTTATCGACTATTTTTTACTTCTTATGGCTGGTGTATTGTGAGTGTATAATTGTGCGCTTTTCCATTTTGAGATGATGGTGTATATGGCCCCATTATATATGGACCAATACTTGATGTTGGAGGTAAGACATTCCCAAATGGTGTGAAATCCCTTTATTTGAGGCATCCTAGAACCATCTCATGGTGTGAAATCCCTTTATTTGATATATCCTAGAACCACATGAAATTACAGAATCTGTTGAAGCTGATAACTCTTATGATTCTAATGGTAATATAATGTTTGCTATTTTGAAAATCTAGTCTAATTTTTTCATAATATTTTGAATTTGAAACAAAAAGAAAAATAATCAAATAAAAAACGGGAAAAAAATACAGAATGTTTTTGAAAAAATGAAAACATCAATATACAGAATTTCTGTTTGAAATGTGATTCATTCCTCCTTTTTTTTTTTTTTTTTAAAAATCCAACTTTTTCAAAATTTTGTGTCACCAATTTTTGATACCTAAAATGGAAGAGAATTTCACATGTCCTGATTTGGTAGTAAGTACCAGTGATTCGGAATGTAGTTAGTATAAGCAATCTTTAGATACCATTAAAAATTCTCCTGTGTGTTGTGATTATTCATGGATAGAGGTGTGAAGCCTTAGATGGTTTCCCCCTAAGTGATCCCTGATGTTAGTCTGATGGTAATTATAGCCTCCTTCTGGAGTAAAGGTCAAGGATGAGAATTCTGTTTATGGTGTTGTTGTTTATTGTTGCTATTCCTGTCTTGAATCATTGTTGTTCACTTTGCTATCTGTTGTGGTTTTTAGTTATTCAAAATTAATTGGTTTGCCATTAAGCATTTTTTTTTCCACTTAACTCTTTGTTTTGGTCACATTTTAAAAGTGTTTTCTTCTCAATCATCTTTTGAATGTATTGGAAATAAATGGTACATTCTTTAAGCATTTTTTTGTTAAGATTAGTGCTTTTTTTGAACTGCTTAATTATATTTACATGTACTTATATAATATATTGTTATAATGCTATAATTATAACATCGACATATCAATAAGGATTTTGTTATAATGCTTACATGATCAATATATCTTTTGGCAATAAGCCAATACATTGTACATTGTAATGAGTCTCGCTACTTATATAGCAGTTTCTGTCGAATACTTGCAATCTCATCTTGTGTCCTGTAATAAGCCCACCCCATACTTTTAAGTTATACGTTATGTGCTAGCACCCCTGGGCCAGGATAAATGAGTTTATAGCTATTTAAAGGTGATGGGTTAACATATCTGTGGTAATTTATGACCTATGTGGGCCTTTGTTATTTGAAGTTTAGATGTATAGATACATCATGATGAAATGTTTGATGAAATATCACATTTATTTTTTCCTCAATTTGTCTTATATGTTAAAGTATAAAGTCTTTTCCTCTGAAAATTGAATAATTCTTTTTGTGAAGGAATGTGAAATGATAATAAAAATATTGACCCCTGGGGATTGTTATGGTCTTACATATATAGACTATAGGGGATGATTGGTCAGATCTGATGCAATAAAATCTCCATATCTGATGGATATATTGATTTATGGTGATGTTATCTAATCAAACCTGTTACTATAGTGATAATGCTGGCAAACAGAGTTCACACCGGAACGGTATATACTAAATGGGCACGCATGTTGGAATAGTTGTAACCTCTAAACCTCTCCTATAGAGATACATTTTGTAGATATAATACCTGATTTTCAAAGAAACTGCGTTTTTAATACATTTCATTATTGGGGTGAAGTAAATGAATATATTAAGAAACAATCCATTCTGTCAAGTCAAGACATTTCTGGTATTTCTGTGTAATTAAGATCTACTTGTGTATACATAGGGGCATAAAATGATGTTTATCTACTATTTTTTACTTCTTATATTTATCGACTATTTTTTACTTCATACATTTATGAACTTTATATATATTTTTATTTATTATACCTATTCTATTGTTGTGTCTTAAAGCATTTGTAATTAACTTTTCCGGGGTGTAAATCAGTTTTAGAATTGAATTATCCATTGTATTTACGAAGCAAGGGACTTCTCCAATTACATATTCTCCTCATATTTAATTATCATTCATGATTAATCTGGTCAGAGGTAATTGTTGATATGGAGAACTAATCACATGCTGAATTAATAACATTGAAGGTAATTACATTGATATCTCTCTATTTGCTCTTGTTGTATATCTCATTGCTAATGATAACACCGCATCTTTGATCAAATGTTTGCTGAGATGAAAATATGTGTATGCCATTCCCTGCCAATGGAGGATATCAAATTACCAGTCTGATCAGGCTTACCATATAAGGTCATTCATTTTCACTACAGTTGATCCGCGGCGTGTAGCGTCAATAGATGATGATGACTTTGCAGAGTATGATGTCACAGAACACAAGGAGTTGTCTCTAGGGATTCCCGAGCGGTTCGGTAGGATTCCCGTCCAATGTTGTCATGTCTTATTGGTTAGAGTAGCAATCCATGTCATGCATGCTTTTAACGTCACACTTAATGGTTAGAAAGTAGATTGTCGTTTCGTTGTTTGTCTTTTTCATTAATATTTCCATTTATCTATGGTTCATGGAATCTCATCATTTCAACCTGTGTCTTTGACCTCTATCCATCCTTGACCTTTGATCTTTTTCTCCTTATCCTCTTATTGCTCCCTTGATGGTCATTTTGGTCAAATATTCCCTCATTTTCTCTCGCACTCTTTGGTTGATTGGTTTTTTACCTGTTAGACGACGCCAGTATCACCTCAAAGTTCATCATTTGTTTCACTCTGTGGTATTTGTCAGAAAGTTATTGAAGAATCTCTGTCTACTGTTTGGACCCCTCTCCTTCATACCTGCCTTCTTTACAGTGTTGTACAATGTTAGTAATTTGCACTGTTGTTAGATTTAATCAGTTACAATACATCCACATTTGGACAGATAACAGACAGACATTCTAAATAATTCTGACAGAGTTTTGAAGGGCAATCGACGAAAGCTATTTTAAACATAATTTTTAGATGAACAAACACACATTAGGAGTTATGATGTTTTGTGTCTCGAAACAATTTATATAACAAATTACTCATTTGATCACATCAGCAGTAAATCACACGAATTTTGACAGTTACCTTTTATATATAGACCGAGACATGTTGACGAGGACATTTATATTTTCAGTGACTCACATATTGAAAATTGCTCACAAGTGTATTGACTGTGACTCAGACATCTTTTCACAGTGAATCAACATTGACTCGCAAAATGAAAATTACATGCACACATGTTGACATTGACTCTTACACCTTTTTTTAAGTGAGTCACATGTGTATTGACATTGACTCGCACATGTATTGACATTGACTCACAGCATTATCTCAAGCATGTATCGACGGTGACTCACACATCGGATGTTACTCATGTTAGATATTGGCCACAGCTTGTGCCATATCAGCAGATATTTAACCACTTCAGTATTTTTGAAAAAGGACATTGACATCACTAGCTCTGATTCTTTGACTAAGTATGACCCTGGATTCATCAGTGTATGATGTTGTGTAGATGTCATTCCCTTTCTAATTAGTGTATTAACTGCACAGTTGATGCACCTGTGTCCTCTGTCTCTCGCACATAATGTTACTATTCAGCAAAGATGTTTTATGGTATGCTGGATAGGAAGGAAGAGGTTGGGAGGAGGGTGGAGGGTATTGTCGCTCATATTGTGACATTCATAGCTCCATAATTTCACTAAAATCTGGTGACGGATTGACTGCTGAATAGTTCGTCGATCTCGGAGTTTTTAATAATGTCTCTCGAGAGACCATTGTCGATCGATCACAGTCATGTAATGGAAATTGGATTTGTCAAGTCTGAAAACACTTTCCCTTCAGTTTAAATTATGTTGCTGCTCTGCTCTTGAAACCTCAGATCAGCATCGCTTCACTTTCTTAGAAATACCAACATTTCATTAAACTTGAAAGAATTGGATATCCTGTTTTAACCATTGGAAAGTTATTTACATTTGAGAAAAATATTTGTAAAAATCATTTCCTTCACTGTTAATGTCATATATGATTATTTGAAAGAAAAAACGAAAAAAAATAATGATAATAACTGATTTTTAAAATCTGAAATGCGACCTGAATCTACAAGGGAGGGGGTTAATTGCTATAGAAATTTTAATTGGATAGAATGGTTTTATAGTGACAGGTAATCTATATTAGCTGTTAAGTGTTGTAGGTTGTAACTGACATGTATAATTATCACCTTGTCTCAGGTCTGAACAATTACTGTAAAAACTAGAGACATACAATATGAAAATAAGCTGAGTAACCAAGGGGAAATCCTATCTAAAACCGTCGGATTGATTTTTCTCCTGAAAATGAACTGATACTCTGTTTTCGTTTATAAATTTAGACCAGTAAGGGTGATGTGTTTTCCTTAAAGTCAATATTTTTAATCACAAGAAGAAAGAAATGTTTTATGTTTAAACTTACTTCAGTTTTCTGAAGAAAATATTACTGCCAAAAGGAGAAACAGTGTTGAAAAGCAATGAAATGAGACAAACTTGAGATGCTTAACATTGATGAGAGTATTTGTTGTGTTTAGTGCCCGTAGCTCAGAGAAGTGGTCCAATATATTATGAACCAGGCGATGAAGACCAAGATTCTGAGGAAGATGAAGTTCTCGACTTCACAACACCCAAACATCTAGGTCACTCAGGTCAGAAGGATGTTTGCATGACAGGAGAATCCTCATTGTGTCAACTTTTTTTGTGATTTAAATTTTGGCTTTTTTTTTTTCTTCACCTCTCCACCCATGATTGATTTATGGCAGATATCAATTGTGTTTTTATTTCTCTTTTGTTTTTAAAGCACTGCTTTCACCCATCAGGGAATATGTAGATTTCATTAATCCTCCATCGTTTAGGTGCGGCAAGTGAGTGTAGGTGTCTTCCTTTTGTGTAATTTTGTTAATTTCCACACATTCTTTTTCTCTGTCATTCATCATGCTGTCAGTGATCAGTGATTGTGTTAGTGAAAGTGTTTTTTATTGATTTAAAGGGAAAAGCCAAGGTTAATTGATTACTTAAATCTACAGCAATGTTTTTAATCTCAGTTAGGGACACTAGGGAGAATTACCTGTCACCGTGCCCTATTTTCAGAATCATTCCTCAGCTGTTACTTAGAAATAGGTTATTGAATCAAGGAAAACTTCTTTGTTAAAGATATTTTCCTTAAATTCTGTAATACTTTCACATAGACAATTTTACTCTTAGTCATTTGGCGAAACTATGGCCAGTCTGGGCTAGATGTGATCAGTGTTTTACAAAACTTTTACAAGTGCAACAAAATTACACTGAATACAGACCATAATGATTTTGTAATCTCGTTATGTACTGGCATTTGATAATTTTGAATACTTTTTTTGATACTTTTTTTTCAGATAAATGTTTCAGACTAAAGGATTATTTGAACCTTATATTTGAGATCAATATTACATAAAAGGACACATGGATATTGAACTGTTCTTACAGCACTAGATCCTGGAATATTTTTGATAATAAAAAAAACATTGAACAATACAGAAGGGGAAATGCAATCTTTTAAGAAATATCTTTTAATACTGATATAAACGATTTTCAGTTTTGATATTGAAATCATTCAACAAAATTTCTAGAGATTTTCCTTTACTTTAAAACGATGACAGCATCAAGTAATGTCAGAGATTAAGTGAGGAAGAAAAAAGTTGTTAATGCTTTGGTACATTGTCAGGTGTTTTAGAAGAAAATAATTAAATCTCCTTTGGTCTAGATCCCATTATAATAGATTTTATCATTAGGGATTAGGTTTTTTATTCATAGATCTTGATATTAGGTAGGTGTTTCAATTATAGACTTTTTCATTAGGTGATATAAACAGGATTTTATAGTGTTATAGATTTTTCAATAAAAGTTTCGCATTCATTATTCTGCTAAGGCTCTGCTTCATTCACTGTTAGCTCTGGACTGTAAGAAAAGCACAGGATATTTGATGCCTGTAATTCTGTGGTAAAATCTATATCGGTGTTCTTTGAATTGACTGTTGATGATAAAATCACTCACCAGTTGGCTGTAAATTTTTGGCAAAAGTAAGTCTTGTCAGTGGTATTGTGGTAATTACTATGGATCAATACAAACAAAATCTCTAATTACAACATGGGATTTAGTCCTAATATTCTTTTATATTAATATTATTCTCAAATAAGACAGTACAATGTACTAGTGTACTGATTTTTCAAACATCTGAACTAAAAATTTATTAGATTGAAATTCTTTATAAAGAACACATTGAAAAAATTTTTTTTGGAGGGGTGGGGGGGATTTTTTTTTTTTTTTTAGAATTTTGATGTGCTATTGCTCAATAACTACAATAATGTATGACACTTTGATAAAAAAGATGAGTTTATTTCTGGGATTTTTTTCTATGTGGAGAAGCATAATGATAGCTCTTTCCTGTCAATGTAGCGTCCTGCTTATTCTTCTCTCCTTGTAGTTACATACAGTCATACATCTCTATGGCAATGATGAGCCTTAGAAAAACATAGGTCATATGTGTGCATTTCTTGAGTTTTACCCACATTAAAACTGTTTTTCCTTTATATATATATATTTGTTTTGAAATACTACTCTTAGTTTTGATTGGCTATCATTTTGTAAAATGCATTATGATTGGTGAATTATAGACTTACACTTTCGTAGATATAAACACATAGCATATTTAACATTCATATGAAACCAGATTTCCTTGTGTATTCGTGGTTAATTCTTTTGTCTGATGATGCGATGGTCAGGTGACAGTGGTTTCACCTAAACAATCATAGTTCTATTTCATAATTGATCATGAAAAGGCATGGATCACCTACTAATACCTGTAAGGTTTTTTTTTTTTGTTTTGTTTTTTTTTTTTTTGTGAAATCCTGTCCTCAGACCACCACTATAAACCTGGACTATCACAGAATGAAAGAAATGACACACAGACCATCATGAGATAGATGAAGTTATTGAGTTCTACAGGAAATGTTTCCATGTTATGACTGGGGAAGTGGTCAAAGCCATAGAATTTTATATGTTGTAAAAATCTGCTTCATTTCACACTGTTTTATGGTTTTCATTTATTCTATTTTGTGTATTTTGTTGTTGTGCTGATGTATAATATGATTGTTATCTTTTACCAGAAGTATTTTATATAAGGCACTTTTGTGTCTCTTTACACAATATTGGGTTTTCCTTATGTAGATTTTATGACAAGAGATCTAAGTAACATTATGTAGATAGCAAACATGAAGAATAGAGATTTTTGACTCCCTTAAAGAATTTGTCTCAAACACTTATCTTTACAAAGTGTTTTAACAGGGTGATTTTCTCAGATAAATGTACTCAGCTGATAGTCTCAACTGATTGGACATCTGATTATAACATCCTTTATCATGATTGTGGTAGTTAAATATTGCACAGCTCCTCCAGTCTCTTCCATTCCTTGATCATACAGGTGTTTGAAAGCTTTCTATATACAGGTGGTATAGTATAGCATCTTCTACCTCTATTTGTAATATTGATGCAGAATTGATGCTTCTAAAGATGAAAGTAAAAGCAAAAAACGGAAAATTAGAAAATATGTGCTCTCAAAACTTTTAATTTATTAAACCATTTACTGATTCTCTAGATATAAGAAAAAATGTTATGAGAAATGATTTGGTTTATTTTTAATATACGGTTGTAAGCAGTAGATATCTTAAATGGAATACGAGTTGGCAATGATCAATTCTGTAGATATTTATTAAACATCATCCATGAAAGTCCATCGTTGTCACGATGAAAGAATATTAATTATAAACTGACTCCAAGAGTGGAAAAATTAACTCCATTCTGTACAACGTAAAATGCATTGGACCTCAAAGAGGGATTCATATCATTTATGTATGTAACAGAGTTCATTCTTATATAAATGCCTCCGCTATGCTTTGAACCTGGCTTACTTTTCTGATGTTCAGCTGATTGAGCTGAAGAGAAGTTCGCTGTAGCATAGCAGTATTTGTGACTATTACTTTACCTGGGTTATATGTATTTTAATGGTAAAGGCTGGTTAGGTGACACAAAGGGTTGTTGGATTCACCTATGACAGCTGGGTTGAATTCCCCATGTGGGCTGATGTGAGAATGTATAACCTAGTTAACTCAGTCTCCTGTCCATGGCCAAAAGAGTGGATTTTCTCTGGACTCTGGTTTCCTCTTGGTGTTAAAATCTGTTGGAATCACCTGGGCCAGTATATTTAAAACTGTTGATATACATGTAAATTGTTTTATAATCCTTATAACAGAGATAACAGGTAAGTATATATGTAACTGATGATCAAAATCAGATCTCTCATTCTATTTTGTATATAAAATCAGAGATCTGATTGCAATAAGATTGTAAAATTTGTGAACTTATTCTGGAGTCAGTGGCCATTGTAATTCTATCTGAAGTTGGTGGCCATTGTAATTCTATCTGGAGTTGATGGCCATTGTAGTTCTATCTGGAGTTGACGGCCGTTGTAATTCTATCTGGAGTTGGTGGCCATTGTAATTCTATCTGGAGTTGACGGCCATTGTAATTCTATCTGGAGTTGATGGCCATGGTAATTCTATCTGGAGTTGATGGCCATTGTAATTCTATCTGGAGTTGGTGGCCATTGTAGTTTGTCTAGAGTTGATGGCCATTGTAATTCTATCTGGAGTTGATGGCCATTGTAATTCTATCTGGAGTTGGTGGCCATTGTAGTTTGTCTAGAGTTGATGGCCATTGTAGTTCTATCTGGAGTTGATGGCCATTGTAGTTCTATCTGGAGTTGATGGCCATTGTAGTTCTATCTGGTGTTGATGGCCATTGTAATTCTATCTGGAGTTGATGGCCATTGTAGTTCTATCTGGTGTTGGTGGCCATTGTAATTCTATCTTGAGTCGATGGACATTGTAATTCTATCTGGAATTGGTGGCCATTGTAAATCTATCTGGAGTTGATGGCCATTGTAAATCTATCTGGAGTTGATGGCCATTGTAATTCTATCTGGAGTTGATGGCCATTGTAATTCTATCTGGAGTTGATGGCCATTGTAATTCTATCTGGAGTTGATGGCCATTGTAATTCTATCTGGAGTTGATGGCCATTGTAATTCTATCTGGAGTTGATGGCCATTGTAAATCTATCTGGAGTTGATGGCCATTGTAATTCTATCTGGAGTTGATGGCCATTGTAATTCTATCTGGAGTTGGTGGCCATTGTAAATCTATCTGGAGTTGGTGGCCATTGTAAATCTATCTGGAGTTGGTGGCCATTGTGGCCATTGTAATTCTATCTGGAGTTGGTGGCCATTGTGGCCATTGTAATTCTATCTGGAGTTGATGGCCATTGTATCTATCTGGAGTTGGTGGCCATTGTAATTCTATCTGGAGTTGTGGCCATTGTAATCTATCTGGAGTTGATGGGAGTTGGTGGCCATTGTAAATCTATCTGGAGTTGGTGGCCATTGTAATTCTATCTGGAGTTGATGGCCATTGTAATTCTATCTGGAGTTGATGGCCATTGTAGTTCTATCTGGAGTTGATGGCCATTGTAGTTCTATCTGGAGTTGATGGCCATTGTAAATCTATCTGGAGTTGGTGGCCATTGTAATTCTATCTGGAGTTGATGGCCATTGTAGTTCTATCTGGAGTTGATGGCCATTGTAAATCTATCTGGAGTTGGTGGCCATTGTAATTCTATCTGGAGTTAGTGGCCATTGTAAATCTATATGGAGTTGATGGCCATTGCTTTAATGAATAAATAATTACTATTGTTTTGGAAACAGCTTTTCTTTGTCTATTTGTTCTCATGTCAGCCTTTTCCTTGCAGAAGACCCAAACACCCAGGGAGCTGAAGGAGCTGACGAGGGATCAGCCAAGTAGGTGATGGGGGAGATTCACTTATTTGAAAGGTTTTAATATTTGGATTCATTTCAAAAAAGACAAAAAAACCAGCAGTCCTGCCCTCTTCCCCATTAAAAAATAGAAATAGATGAATATCATTCCCGACTACTTATGTAAAAAATGATTTTAACAATTTGATATATTCATGTAATGTCAGAATGCAATCTGCCTCTCTTTGACCCACAGCTGGAGACAGTTAACAATCAATATGTCAGTCTTTGGGGGATGTCTATTTTTGTACATATTCTTGATTAATTCTTGCCAGTGACAAGATTTTCTTACATTTATAGGCTCTACATGAAGAAACAGATTCACACTAAGACAGTGATGAAGGATGGACAAGAGCAAACATTTGTTACTGAGGAGTCGCATATCCAACAGGACAATGAACCCCCAGAGGAGCTCCGCGACAGCATGAGACAAATTATTGATCAGTTCATGGAACACGGAGGTGAAAAGGAGCCTACCTCCCAAGCCCTTGAACATGATGTGTAATAACACAATTGAAAGAACATTGAACTCTCATCAAAGTTCCATAAAATCATATACATATGGCTTAAATTTTTCGCAAAGAACATTTATGCCTGGTTTGCATTTTCGCATAAGATTTGAGTTTCTTAAAGCTTGTGTTATCATTGCCTATGATAATTGTAAAGAATTGGTTTTTGAAACAGATGGAAAAATAATGCATTGAACATTGTGTTAGTTTGAATTGAAGCGTTTGTTCTGAAATTTCTTGAATAAATAATTTTTTTTAAGAAAATGTAATATGAAGAAATCTAATGTTTCACATCAATATTCTTAGCTCTAATTTGATATTCTTTCAGTCTTTGCTCTATAAAATAGGCTTTAGTTGCATGGATTCAACTATTGAAATTTGTTGCTTTCATCACAAAGAAATGTTATATAAATGTAACATTTTTATATTCCATTTATAAAAACGGTAAATCAATTTCTGTAAATTTCACTCATCTATTTCCTAGCAAAGACTGAGGTCATGCTGTGGTCTGATCCTACAGAATGGAGAACTAGATGATAGATCTGTATATTTTTAATTTCATTAACTCACCATGCTTCAAAAGATGTACTATCTTAATAATAATGTTGTAAAATACTACCGTTTGCCTGAATTTTAGCAGTACTCTTGTCATAATTACAGTTGGGAGCCTTGCTGTCCGTATTAGCTCCATTGTAATATTTATCAAAGATTTACATATTTTGTCCGCAATGAATGCATAGCTTCATTGATAACTTATCTTAACTGTACAGGTCTTCATTTTTTTTTCAATTTTAATTCCTGTTTCTTGATTACTTCATTAAGAATTTTTCATATTTTTTTTCACTTTTGTTTGTTTTATGTATATTCTAGAAATGGAAATCAGACTGTTGTTGTGAAACTTATCTATACAGATTTACCATTACTTAAACCACCATAATGACATTAATCAAACAAACCATGTGCTTTCAGAGGCAACATGAGAATCTATTTTGTGGTTTTTTCCAAAAACCCGAGGATTTTATTATGTATTCTGGAATGGATACCCCAGCGTCAACTTACCCCGATGGATAGAACGAGAAGGTTGGGGTAGCTTTTTCCGACGATGTTTATCTCTGAGAATTAGACAAACTGTTAAACTTGTGCAATGAACTAGAACTGGCCCTCTAGTTCAAATGCACATATCTAACGGTCATATGTATAATATGAGTGATTCTATGATGAAATTTATGGGATTAAAGAAATTACTGAGTAATTATACTTTCAAATTAATGAAGGTGTATAAGCGTGTCAGGGGAGATAACTTGACCTTGAAAGGGAGATAACTAATTAAAAGAAATAAGGTCAAAAGTAGAATGTGCATGGGTTATTTCGAATGAGAATATAAAGAATGAAAAGTCAATACAGTCTATAAATAGTCAATTGAATCTTTTCTAAAGTCTTTTTCTTCGTGCGTCATGCTCACATTGTACTTAGATTCAATTTGATATCCTACTTACAATAATATCACGTAACAAATATCAATATCATAAACTGATTATTATAATTTTCCTAGAGAAATTGCTGCTCTAGAATGGTATGAATTATGTATTTATGAAATGCAAAGTCTGTAATTCTTCCAAGTTGTTTAGTTTATTTTCTGGTAATTTTTCATGAGAAAATACATCAGATAAAACTAAAAGTGGCCCCAGGAAAAATTCATTGAGAGAAATTGAAGAGTGCATGATTCCAGACTTTGCATCAGTCAAAAAATATGGAGTAATTTTTTAAAATCAGGAAAAAGTGACATTGAAATAATTGAATTGATTTTTGATGATTGGTGACTTACTCCCTCCTGATAATTGATATATGTAATAGATACCTATATATTTGTGTATCTTTCTCCTACCCTCTGTAGGTCCATGTTTGTACCCTTGTATAGCTGCATATTTGAAATAAAAGGCTTCATTACACATTTTCACCTTTGTACTTTGTTTACACTTTGGGGACTTTTCCCTCAGCAACAACTTCTATGTGGTATGCAAGAGGAACGCTGTATGACAAAAAATATTTATGCTAACTCTCATTCAGAATCTGAAGTCAAGACATCATTTCAAGTTCTTTTATCTAAAATCTGATTTACTGCGTTTCATTTATATTTTTTTTTTGGCAACGAAAAACAACCAAAGTAGCAATACGTAACAAATATTTCATGTGATACATATTTATGTACGGGACCTCAGGGCATTATTTGATATTTGACCTGTAATCTTGACCGTTATGGCCATTTGATATTTTTGGATTCATCACATGGTAACAAATTCTTTACCAGTCAATAGATAGAGGATTTAACCTTGATCTTTTATCATGGTGTCGTATTCCATAATGTTGTAACAAAATATTGAGCAGGCAAAAAATGTGACCTTGATGTTTGACCCAATGTTTTGGCTTTTATTCAACTACATGTATTCAACATGTGATCTTGACTTATAGTCAGTGGTTTGCTATTAGATATTAATCAACTTTGCTTCAATATTCATCAAAATCATCATTTTAGTAATGATGGCCTTTAATGGCAGGTCACAGTGACCTAATTACAGTATAATGTGCAGTAACAACTGGTGAGAGATTCAAATTTCAAGTTTCAGTGCATTTTATGTGGTTCACATTTGACATTTGACCTTGAGGTGAAGGCAACATTTACGTGATATTATTTAAAGCAATGCTAATCACCTGTATCAGAATTCAGAATTTATGATAGGGCAATATTGCAATGAAGCTTTGTGACCTTCAGACAAAAATCAGTGGACTGATCTCAATGCCATGCACACCATCTGATCCTGATGTAGTTGTTTCAAGTATAAGTGAAAGACACAGTAAAATAAAAAATCCTGTAAAAACGTTTTAGGAGAATAAAACCAGGCACTGGTGATTGCCATGGTTACCTACTGAAAAATGCTAAAAATGCAGAAATACTGCTAGTTCCAACCTAACACTACAACTTTCTAGAAGAAATTTAATTCTAAACACCTGTCTCAAAATCAACAACACTGCCATGGTAACAAACAACTTACATTTCAGCAAATTCCAACTCGGAAATCCTTTATAACATTACCATATGTAAACACTTTGAAAACTTCACTTCCTGTAAAGCTAGTTTTTGGTACGTAGACACAGATTCGAGACTGCCCAAAAAGTAATCTCCAGCACAAAGCTAAAATATTATTCTGAAGAAAATGAAACCCTAAATTGTCCACTTCAACATAGCAAGACCAATTTAAGCAAGGATTTTTTTTTAATATTTTAATTAAAACCTGTATAATAGGTTAATCTAATGAACAAAGATATCACCATGACCACATCGAGTAACTGTCCACTACTACCTTAATACCGTCCTAGAAAAGAATATAAAAACCTATGTGTTGTAATCAGCACGGTACCAGGCAATCATAATAACATTACTCAAACATTCTTCATACAAACAAACGCATATTTTCTAGATTTGGAAGACAAAAGGAAAAATAGAAAAACAAACAGTCAGTCTCTAACACAATCTGTTATACGTTCCTGTTTTACCTGGCATAATGCCCTTTAAAAGACATCGTTTCAGAGAAGATTTGATAATGTTGGTGTGCTAGTATCCCATTTAATATATGAATACACGAATTTGTTTTTAAAAAATCACGCACTTGTTTCTTAAACATTAAGAACATGGTGCTACAGCCGAGCACATCGTTACATACCCATTGTAGAACTAGCTCTTTATAGTTCACAGTTCATAAACTTAAGTCATTAATCTTAATGAGAAATAGGATTTCCACACACCAACCATAATAACTTATATTAGATTGAAGCATCACTTTACAAATCAAAAGAAAATAAATGATTTATGAATTAATTTCTCATAATAATCGTTTCGTTTCCTTAGTGTTGTTAATTATTTCTTATATATACAATGTAGGTAACGGTATCTGTTGTTTTTCTGTCTGATTGGAAGAGAGAGAGAGAGAGAGAGGGGGGGGGGGGAGAGAGTCATATTCAATCAAATCCCAATTTTACTCTTTTTTTTGGCAATTAAGAGATGTCATCACCTTTGCTTAATTTCTGATCGCCATATAGGAGTAAATCTAATTAAATTCTCAAACAGAGGTTGTAACTGTCTTATTAATAAATTTCGATTATGAATGTATAAGGGGACAAACACAAAAATAGTAATAAAAGTCTTCACATGGTTGCTGCATCTACATTCAGCTGTATTACCATTTGTTCTAAAACATCGTAATCAAGAGATCTGGCAGGATTTCTCAAATGGAAATGAAGTATGTTTAAATTACGTAAATCTCATACCTAAAAGCATTTGTCATGTATTATTTCTGTCTTACTGATAATTGATTTAAGTGTATTGAGAGAAGGAGAGTTCCTTATAGAAATATCTACTTCATACCACTTTTTTGTTATTGATGAGAAAAAGAATTTCGCACGCTTAAGCGATAACCTGAAGTTGTAGTGATTGGAAACCACGTGAGAATTAAAAGATTTATGTTAAGATTAATTTTCACATCTCAAACAATCAACGATTTAGTTGTTTCATTATTTTAAAGGATCTCTATCGAAACAAAATAGAAACAATGTCGTGAATGTTTCGATACAATGTAAGTTCCCTTTTCATTAAAAAAAAATGTCAATTGAGGATTCGATCCATGCACCTTTGGAGTCGAGAACGGAGAGCTTATCGCTGTGCTTTCGTTACATTACACATGATGAAGTGAAATTTAGAAAGCTTCTTAAGTATGTAGTTTCCTCCATCTATTGAACATATTTTGTGTTTGTGTGGAATGCAAACATGAGTGTAGAAAAACAAAGATGACAATGATGTGGTCAGTACATTAATGGCTGATTACGCTAAAATGCCAAAAATTCAAATATCTCCATATCAACATGCTCTGCACCCTACTCTTATACTAAAAATCACCCAAATAATATACATTACACAAGTCTGATGTTTTATTGAAGAAACAAAGTAACTATTCGCTAGTTATTTTCTGTAAGTGTACGTTAAATATCTTACGACAGATAACGTGCTTTACACTGTAAGATGACGCCTGCAGTATTTGTTTCACATTTTCTATGAATAATGTATAATCGTTACAAAAGCTCATCTTGGAATCAAACAATGATTTCTGGTTAGTCATAGTCAATGAAAAATAAACAAGTTCATTGTAACATTTTACTGCGTTGCGATGATAAAACCTTGAAAAAAAAGTGAAAAGGTAATAGTTATGTCCGCTTTTTCCGATATTCCAATCACCAGCAAATTAAAATCGTATTCATCTAGTCTGTGTTGATTATTTACATAATAAGTAGATCTTGACCAAGCGTAAATCGAAAATATCGGGAAAACCCAATTTGCATATTTAAATAACTCATTTAAATATGTTGTCAAATTTGGACATAGTGACGTTTAAATACCCCCTTTTTTAAAGCAAAGACACGCCCACCATCCTACCTTTGGTGCATTTTTATATTGGTGTCATGACGTCGACAATGGTTTTTGAGTCATTTGCATACATGGTGCTGTTTCACTTCAATATTCAATGCAACGAATAAAATCAATCTGTTAGGAGGTATTCATGTTTAAAATAGCCAACTACGTAGCAATATTTTCGCAAAAAACTGAAATATGGTGAGATTTTGAAGCTATTATGCTCTGGTGTTGAGAGTCTCTATATACGTTACCTTTCCCGTGATACCTAATGATAGCATGTAAAAATAATTAAATAAAATCAGTTAAACGGAAGTAAACACCGGAAACCATTACCACAATTTACAAAATGCAATGCCCGACATTAGTTCACTGTCAGATTTTATTGGTATTCTGAAATGAGTGCATTAGAAATGAATATATTTCAAACACCGCGATTAAGATTTGTCGTGTTGTATATATACAGAATACAAGAGCGTGTTCAATATGTCTTCAAAACGAAGCCAAGTGTGATTTTCCTGTCAAGCATGGGTTGTCACATGAACAAAGTTCCCTGAAAGAGTGCTCCGCTTGTGCCCATTCCCAATCACTTCTATAAATGCGGTCGTACCATGTGCGGTACGGTATACTGAGGTTTTGTACACTGTGAGGATTCCTTGCGGGCACACGTTAACCGTGTCTTTATTTTATAGTATTTATGAATGAATTTCCGTTATTGTCTGTGCAAAAGTTTATCTATATGAAAATGCTTGATTACAAAAGGTTCTGTCTCTAATTCGTTTATTGCATCCTGTCGATATAATGTATCATCTTGGGCCCCTTAGTATGAATGTCAAGGTTATACTATTCAGATTGGTCTATATAGACATGTTTGATATAACCTCGAGAAATAGGCGATCGTGACAGGTACTTATTTTCAGCTTATACAAATAGACTTCTCGGAAAGTGGAAGAAAGTCTGTTGTATCCAGTTTCGAACAAAATATAATAATGCAATTTATATCAAATAAGATCTTGGGAGAGAGAGCCTTTCACGATTCAAGCGGTTGTGATGAAGCTTAGATGGTTTTCTGATGCACAACGTTCTTCAATCTAGAAAAAAATTAAGTATCAACACAAACAGTTCGCTTTATTTTTAACTTGTTGGTATTAATACATTTCAGTGTTTCCAAAAAAGCTCACTTCTTAATATCAGTTTTGCACCCTGACGGCAAAGTCTTTAAATAAACATTGTGTAATTAATATTTATGCGGCAAAATGCAAATAATCTAATAACAACGAAACTAACAATGTATTGGACGTAAATGTGCCAGATGTCAACAGTAGTCATCAATGTTTCATAATAGAAAACAAAGAACAATAACAAACAAATAAACACAAACAAACTGAAACATTATCAGGTTTCCTTTAACTTTATTTTAAACTAAAACACGATACGATAGCAGTCTTTTCTACTCGGAAACCGCTCCTTATGCATTTGACTTTTGCATGGATAACTGTACTCTTGCGTAGCTTTTGGCCCATTTGGCTTTCCTCTCTGCTGTCTTCTTTTCCCTGTTGCGTCTTGCCCGTTCCTGTTTGGCGTCAATAGATGCTCTGTTTATTGGAGGAAGTCGTCGAGGAGGGCCGTGTGTTGCAGCTCGACACGCCTCCCATGAGTATGTGGTGTACTGGGGATATTTCGTTTTGTACTCTGGAACACCAGGGAGAGTGGAAGAAATCGAATTGGCTTCGGATTCACCTTCAATTTGCAGTACAAAAGCCACTCCTCCCTCTCCCTTCCTGGGGACAACTCCCTGCTCCTTCAGTTGCATCAAAGCTGTCTGTTCTGTTTTACGTATTGCGTTCAGAGTAGCACTCAATTCTAGCGATGTCGCGACCTCCTCTCGAGTAGGAATGTTGATTGATGCGACCTACGAAAAAATAATGTTTTAGTTGTAAAAGCCAAGAATCCAAACGCTGCCGGGAACAGAACATGTATCAAATTAAGTATGTTTGAGATTTTTATGTCCATTATTAGAAACGATTTGTTTTAACAATACTTGTACCTTGTTTCTCTTTATCCAACAATGGAAAATCCATCTATCTCGTGTATTTTCATCCGTCTTCGAGTTATTACATCCCATTTTCTCGTCAAATATCTGAGATAACTAGATTTGCGCGATAGTCGTGCAGCAAATTGCGCATAGATACGAAATGCATTGTGACGTCACGAATGAAAATGAATCATGACGTCATAATGCATATCCATCACGAGGTTCTATATTAGTCAAGGTTATGTTCATTATCATCGCCAGTCGCTGTAACTAGACCAGTCCAAATATGGAAGATGACGTAGCAACTGCCATCGAGTCACAAAGTACTGAAAATGTATATTTTTTTCGCAAATGAAAAACCGAAAGTTTTTATCCCGTTTTTGTGGTACTGGATTCGAAACTCCATCCTACACTTTGATATTGTCCCTCCCGAGATGCTGCTGGGTGCACACTTACTATGCGCCCCTTTACTTAGTACATCGATAGGTATCAATAGGGTACATAACTATAACAAAGAAAAAATGACTCAACGCGACTAGAAAATTTGCAAGAATCTGGAAATGTTTTGTTTCTATTTTTTTTTTTTTAATCCTGTTTCTTGGTGTCTTCATTCGTATCCAAGAGTGGCCAAATTCAAGGATAAATTATCTCAAAATATGACCGGCGCAGAAGCCGCGAATCCGCTTAGGAAGAACAGTAAAATGATTAGAATGGCAGTTAGTGATATCTTCCTCGATTTTTTTACTACTTTTTCACATTTTTTAAATATTTTAAAATCTCGTCGTGTTTATGGTGGCTAGTTCAACTTCAGAAAACGAAATTATTTTAATAATAGACATTGTCGCTGAGTTAGCTCCCTGTGATTATCGCGTTAATATTGTATCTATATGTGTTCAAATTTAACGACCTCAGTCGTTTAAGCGGAATATATTTTTATACATTTAGGCAAATATTGTTGATTTGAAAAGCTGAAATAACTATTACAAACCAGGATGAAATGTTTAGAAACGTTTTGGAAAGTTGTAATGAAAAAGATACAGAAGCTATTGAAAATATTCAATTTGAAACTGTTATAGAATTAAAACAGGTTTGCCCATCTTTACAAGTAAATCTCGCCCATAAGACGAATCATTTGGCAATCCTTAAAACAGGGAGAGAATGCACAGACACCCTATTTAACAGAAAAAAAACCAATCCAATTATGATTTATTTCGTCTCGATTTATTTGACAACCCGTTCTATCGATGTGGTCGACGAGGGCACAAAAAACTTTTTTATTATTGTCCTGAATCAGGGACTCGTAAAATCACGGTATTATACGTCCCTGTCTGAATATATGTGGTTCAAAGAAGTACAACGTTTAGAGATTTAATATAGTATACAAAAATTACATGTAAAAGCTTTTTGTGTGATTATGGGCAAAACACCACAACAACACCTTCGTAAGTTTCTCAACCATTAACCTGGTTTTTATTGCAGGCGACAAGAGATTAACTCTGCAATAACAAAGATAAAGCAACATAACGATAATGTACATAATAAAGTTGACCATACGACACATTTCACACAGATAAATATACAAGTACAATACACCTGTGACGTGATAACTAATACGTCACGGCTACAATACTAGTTTACATGTAGCACTGGCTCAACTAATACGTATCACAGTATAAAAAACTACAACAGTTACAGATATAGTTGATACTGCACTGGATATATAAACGAAAGATATTACATATATATAAATGAAATAAGAAACTGTAAGCATTTTCATAACTTTATTGTTGATAGTAAAAAATTGCCTAAGTACATGTCAGTATATAATGTCATCTGCTTGCTACTTTATCTTATTTATTTCATTTTTGACTCCCTTTTTTATTTTTCTGCTGCTATCTGTAAAATTCAATGTGGTTGAAATGACTCGTCTAGACAGACATTTGCACTCCAGTGTTTATAAAATCTGACATCAACTTTCACGTCACTGTCTGGAATCAACACCATACCAACAAAAAGGGACAATATAACGATAGAATTTGACATATCTTTTCATTTATGCATGTATCAGTTTTTACGTAACACCACCGTCTAAAGACGACTAAATTAAAAATACGTTGAAGATGGCCCATCCACGGACTTAAATATACAAGTCCGTGGCCCATCTCACTGAATCATGTTTAGAAATGCAGCTAGACGTTTTAAATTTGCTTGTTACAGCAGGGACGTATAATACAGATATGTATTATACGTCCCTGGTTACAGTAATGGCGTGAAAATTTTAATTTAAGTTTTATCAAACCTGTCTTTTAATGCTAATTTTTTGTTGTTGTTTTACCCGAGACGTATATAACACGAATCTGTCATACTCGAGTGTCTTTTAAGTTTTAACTTCCGAAATTAAAACTGAAGTAGCCTATAGGCCTACAGTGTGTGTGTGGTTTTTTTTTTGTATTCCTACTTCATAGATTAAAGTAGTGCAGAGTACTGCTTATCAGAATGACGATGCATAGACCGTGAGATTACCTTCTGTCAGTGAAAGAAATCCACGAACGATTATTTGACCTGTAAACTGTTGGGACAATACAAATTTATAATGTACGAGACAATATTGTTCGTTCCACGTTTTTGAGAATGTGAACTTGAGCAAGTCTATTGCAATAAATCGATTCTGGATGTATTTCCGAAAGAAAACACACATAACATAGCTTTCTTTCATTATCTGACAAAACTGTTGCTAAAATCCACGATACAGCTTTTATTGTAAAATATCAAACCAGAATCCATAGATAAATTAAGAAGGAAATATACTTGAGGAATTTTGACCAATCAAATTCTTTGAAAGTCTCAAAAGGACCAAGTGAGGGAATGACACACAGGAGCACTTCCGACTTTCATCAAAACAAGTAGATGGTTTATGCTTTTGTTGTGAGCCCGAAGGCGGTGAACTTGATGGCAAGCAGACGATAAGTATGTCCACCTGTGTTTCTGATACTGCTATAAACTACCACAATCTTTTCGGTTACATTTTGCATTTATTGTCTCCAACACAAAAACCAGACGGCAAGAGAATGACAGTCTGAATCATTCATATTTGACATAGATTATGGTTTCTTTGATGCCAATCTAAATCTGCTTATATGATTATTACTTATTTAATATCATCCAAAGCTGTCAGTCCACTAAATAGCCTTTTCAGACAAACATGTGCCTTTTTGTCGCTTTGAAAGAAAAAAAAACCATGATTGAGGCTTTGGCCTGCACAAGATACTCCAGCTGGAATAGAAAAGGGCAGTCTTCTGTCCTGATAATGTTGTTGCAAGGAATCTTTGTCTTCGTTTCAAGAAAATACTTGTCAGAATTGTTCCTTTTTTCCCCAGACGAATTAAATTCGGGGCTTGTCCAAATCAATGGGTTGAAAGAATTGCTGTGATTGCAATTTTGGATTTTCTGATAATTTTAGATATATCCAGAACAGTTTTCAAATACTGATGTCCAGTCTGGTAATTGTCACTGATATTGGATATTAATTATTATTGTTGATAACCTTTGATAAAAAGAGTGGATCATCACGGCTTTCACATAATAATACAATGTTACAGTTCGTCTCTGTCACATGTATTGTAGTGGACGGGGCATGTTTGTATGGTTAAGTTAGTTATACAGACTGTGCTGCACTGTTTGGGATCCAATTAACGTGATGCCCCAATTATCATAATTTTTCTGGCGCCACAATGCACACAATTTTTTTGATAGTTTTGCAGATATAAATGAAAATGTATTTGTTTGTAGTCTATCAAATGCAATTTTATCCTTAGGTCCTTGATGTTAGGAGATACATATCATATGTCCCTGATGTGAATGTAATATTAACATTTATTTTTGCAGAAAATAAAAACGTTATATACAAAAAATACAGTATCATCATCACAGTAGTCATGGTCATATAGGTGCTTTTTCAGATGACAGTGATCAAAGAAAATAGAGGTCTTAAGGCCTACGTTCAGTAACAATTAAGTAAGACATTATTTGCTTCATTTTGTTGTGTTTAGAAAGAAAATTTACACTTACGTGTATAAATTTGTTAATTCAATATTCAAATTATGTCTAGTATATGATATTAAGTAAATATAAAATTGTTCAATGAAATCAGAGCTGTACTGTCAGATACAATGCAGCAAAGAAATGATTTACTGAAAAACAGAAAGACCCACATCAAAAGATTTAATTGTAAAAAAAGATTATTCTCTTGCATTAATTACCATTTTGATTAAAATCATAGATAAAAAAATATAGTACTCTGGGTAAGAAAACTTGTTTTTACGGCAAATTTAAACATTTGTTTTCAACAAAGGACTCATCAGTTTACAGAAATACTACTTCAGTGGTTATTTCATGTTAAAGATAAACACAAAAAATCAGATGTTAATCCATTTATGAAAAAGAAAATAACAGACTCAGTTTTTCACGATAATGGGTCCCCAATCAATGTATTATCATCTGTTGGTTATGTTGCTTTAGGCTTACAGATGTATGGCTTTTGGTTTCAGTGATAACAGAGGTTGAAAAGAATATCTAATGAGTATGGCAGGTACACTGGATCAGATAACCCTGGAGATGGGAAAACAACTAGAGTCCCTAGAGTAAGTTTTGTTTTTGTTTATGTATCAATATTAGAATTTTAGGGAGTAATATGGGTTGAATATCTCGATCACCATTGATATCTTCCGGTGAGTCTTGCTTCAGAGAGCTTTAGAATTACCCTGACATACAAAATGTCCTGTTATCAGTTCATGCCAAAACCTTAAGGAAAAAACTGGATCAGTATGGAATTATCATGATCCTTTCCTTTTCCAAATTTTGAAATCAACTGTTTTCGGTATAGATATTGCTCAGTCCACATAAATTAAAAAAAAAAAAAATTCAATAAACATAAATTCATATGGAAAAAATTGATGACTGATCTGATAGAATATTGATCCATTGTCACATGATCAGATTATTTTAATAATTGTTTATTTTCTTTGTAGTTGGTTCCATCCAGGTGTTGATAGACACACAGCTGAAAGTTTATTGTTACAGAATGGAGTGGATGGAACATACATGCTTCGACCAAGTTCTAAAGCTGGGGAGTATGCATTATCAGTCAGGTATGTTCAGTACTGTATCAGAGATCATTTTCGGGAATTATTCATACATTTTGGAAGAAATTTTGATTTTAGGAAGCCCTTAGAGTGAAACTGAAAAATAATGACAAGTTGCATGAATCATCGGATTATAAAGATGCCAAAACCAATGATTTGGAAATATTTGTGAAAATAACGTTCTCCTCCACTGACTTGAAATTTAAAATGCAAATTAGATACAAGCATTTTTCACGAAATCACGATTCAGTCACAAGTGTTAGATATGCTACATGTACAACACAATTGAAACAATAAAAATTTTAACCCTCAATTCTGTAAAGTGTTATTGAAAGCATGTTCATATCATATTTTAAAGTATTATTAAAAGTTCTAACACAAAAGTGCAAGTATGTAATTACATATTACACATCAGTGTCACACTGGTTTACCTCTATTAATGTCACCTTTGTTTTACAGGTGTGATAAATCAGTCAAACACTTCAATCTGTCTGTTGAGGGAACTGACTTCAAATTTGGACATGGTGAATTTCACAGTATGAGTGAACTTATCAATCATTTTGCCAACAAGCCTTTAATAGGTGCTGATTCAGGTAAGAGAAGTATAAAAATCTCAATGTGATCACAATTTTTTTTAAAGTTCTCCAGATTTGTTATTTTTTTCATATTTCTTTGTTCTTTACAGAAATTGTTCAAATCTTATGGCTTATGATAGGTCAGTTAACAATTTTGTAATTTCTGCTGTTTTTAATTGATTAATCAGCATTACGGATGTAAAAAGAAATCAGCTTTTGTTGACAAATTGTTCATTGAAAATTAAGTACACACAGCTTGTACATATGACAGTGAAAATTCCCAATATACAACACACTGTGTATACTAGTTGTTTGTTCTTTTTTATCCCAGGACAATTGACGTTGCTGAATTACCCCTACCCACGTAATATAGAGGAACCTAACATGTATGATACAATACGAGTCCACGCCGAGTTTAGCACAGCAGATGACTTCTCAAGAGGTCCAGAATTCGCAGTATGTACAATCCAAATGTCTGTGTGACAATCATGATTGTTTAGAAAACTGTCACTATTGCTTTTTAAACAGATTTTGAAAGTTGCTTTGGCGAAATGAAATGGTCAGTATTAGGATAGCTGAGATTGATGTAGAAGATGTGTAAAAATTTGTAAACAATGTGTTGTTTTCGAACTTTTTAAAATGTTATTGTCAATAACTGAATTTTACATGAAAAGATGTTTTGTGTAATTTGCCATTTTGCTTTTGATATGGTGACTTTGTAGAGGATTGATACTTTAAATGTTGCAATTTTTGACAGAATTTTCATGCAATTTCAGATCAATTCTAAAGAGGGTTTTCTCACAAAACTTGGAGCTAGGTTCAAGGTAATGATTTCTTTGTCTGTCTTATATCTTCATCATATTTCTCTATCTGTACAATCTTAGGTATTTGTTATGACTAGAGTCTGAGTATCACGAGACGAAAAACATACCAATATAGCAACCTGACTTGTCATATATATATTTACAGTTGTATCATGAAAGTCTATGTCACAACAGATCAGTGATCAAATATTGATGAAAGGACAACACTGGTCAAAATTGTATTTTTGTAAATATTTTTGGATTGGATGAATTTTAACAAGAAGAAAGTGTGTCTTGCTTTGGCATCAATATTTTCACCATATTCTGTTGTCTTAGAGACAAAAAGGAATTGTCAGAATCTATAACACAGTTGGTTATCGGTTTCCGTTTCAGTCTTTGGTTGTGATTATTTCTTGTAGACTTGGCACACAAGGTGGTTTGTACTACAGAAGTTTGAACTTCGGTATTATAAAAAGAAGGAGGATACTCGAGCTATCCGAGCCATGGACCTCCGAGAATGTGAGGAATGTAAACGAGATTACACAAACAAAGGCAAATTTAATGTTTTCAGGTAATAATTGGAAGAGTTGTTTTAGCAACTTAAAATTTTCTACATGTCTGGCAATTGGCATGCCCATCAATGTTTGTTATGGTTTCAGTAAAAAATAACTATAATTGTGACAATATTTTCTTGTTAAAAGCGATCTCTTAAATGTGATTCAGAAATTACGCGTTGTACCTTGGGTTTACAGAATGGTAATTTTTGAGACAGTATTTCTCACAGACAGAAAAATATCAGTTACATCAAATTGATAGAATCTGATAAACGTGTCTGAAAGTAAAAGAGATTTTACAAATATACCTTAAAGTTGAAATATTACATATCAACAATTGTCTTACAGGGTTGTTTTCAAGTGGAGGACATTTTTCATGTACTCCACGACAGAACAAGAGTGCAATGACTGGATTAAACTCATCAACTGGAAGTTGGTACGTCTCTTTCTTTTGTTTGCATCCTCCAAGATACATGTGCATAGTCTGTTGAATAACATGATACTATCATCTGTGGTCACTTTAACACAGCATATGACGTTTACTGTTGGAAATTAGTGGGACCACAAGCAAATGAAGTGATAATGACTTTTCACTATTGTTTGTTAACTTTTTTTACCAGCTTTTGTCTTCTGCCAAAATCTGAACACAATTGATCTTTTGTTTTGTCTGATGTATTTTAGTCGGACCTCCCCACAAAATCAGCTTGATGTGATCTTAGCTGTTGTTCAGATGTTAAACTCACCCCAAAAACAAAATATCCATATTTGGAAAAGGAATTGAAAAACAACATATTTTGGTCCCTATTTGGAATACTTGAGAACCATTATTTATAATTAATCAACATTTAGAATTACGGCAACTATTTTGGTCTTTTAAGAAGTCCATATTCACCATTTCATGATGTGTCTATCTCGGCAGAAGATGAGAAGTATTGTTCATATGTTGCCAATACTTGGAAAAGAAGAGTCACAAGCTTTGATTTATCAACATTAGAAATAAAAAATAATGCCAAGACCCCGATTTAGTGTTTAATTTAATAAAGAAGTGTCAAACAGATCATTCTGGTAAATCAAGTGAAAACATTTTTTATTCCTTTTTTTTCAGAAAAATACTCAGAGGCGACCATGATTTTTGCTGAATTTGTGAGAAATGCTGTATGAAATTATTCTAGTAAGTGGTTATGAGTGCAATCAAAGAGAAAAAGACTTCCATTTTAGAAAGTGTGATGCAGTTGGTTTGTGTAGATTCCAACATTTTGACAGTTGTGTCACATTGATCATTCATTGTTAGCATTTAGTTGTCAGCTTTAAAAAAAGGTTATTTTCATCAATAACATCAGACATTTCTGGTTTTCAATCAGCAAATTGCGAGTTCAGCAAGTAACAGATTTCAAGAGTTTGCTGTTCAACAGAGGACATTCATCAGAAATTTAATGTTTAACAGAGGACATTCATCAGAAATTTACTGTCCAACAGAGGACATTCATCAGAAATTTACTGTCCAACAGAGGACATTCTTCAGAAATTTACTGTTCAACAGAGGACATTCATCAGAAATTTACTGTTCAACAGAGGACATTCTTCAAGAGTTTATTGTTAAAAAAAGAACATTCTTCAGAAATTTACTGTTCAACAGAGGACATTCATCAGAAATTTACTGTTCAACAGAGGACATTCATCAGAAATTTACTGTTCAACAGAGGACATTCTTCAAGACTTTATTGTTAAAAAAAGAACATTCTTCAGGAGTTTTCTGTTCAACAAACGAAAAAAAGAACATTCTTCAGGAGTTTTCTGTTCAACAAACGATATTTTCAAGGATTTACTGTTCAACAAAGGACATTTTTCAAGGATTTACTGTTCAACAAATGACATGCAGGCTGTAAGAATATGATCATCACATGATGAGTGCCTCAAGAGTCAACAGTTCATCAAACCACATGCTTCAGGAATTGAAGATTCAACAAAAATTGTTTGTGTTTCTTTCAATCAAGCAACATGCATGCTTCAGTAATTAACCAGCCTGGAAGATAGTATGCTTAAAGATGCTTCAAGAATGCATGATGATGATAGAGAGCAAAAGTAGATGATGTTTTGTCAACAATTTGCATCAGTGATTTTTGATGTTTAATTCTCGTTGATATATTGTACTAAAATTATAGTGAAACAGCCAGTGTTGCATTGTTTAACACGTAGTAAGTTTCCTGTATATGTCGTGTGCAACATTTTGATACAAATGTTCGATTAATCAAAGTGCAATTCCCAAGCTTTACAAGTATGTATTCACTGATATTGCGTTCTCCCCATGCTATTTTTTTCGCTGTACTTTCATGTTTTCTCAAAATGTTTTGACTGCCACCTGATTTTCTCTCTTTTATGGTACAGAGTAAATAAAAAACAAATTTATATATATATATACAAAAGCATAAAATGGTTTAGAATTGAAATCTCTGTTTAAAAGTCAAATGTCTATTGTCTTATTGAAGGTAGTTAGATTTTATTTGAAAATTAAAACTTTTTTTTTAAGCTTAAGGTGAAATTTGCACAACTCTTGAAATGTTTTTTGTTAAAATATTAGATACACAGATTTAAATCAGCATTAAATGTTACTCATAAAGTAATTCTGTTTTGCTATAAACTTATGTCTTTATATACATGGAATTATATATATTTGCTGGACATCTTGAATACACCTCATATTATGGACACCTCTTTTCCGTATGTTAATTCTTGTGATGATTTTCAGGAAGTGATATATTTCATTTCAAATCAGCAAAAATGATTTTTCAACTTTTTTCTTTTATTCTGAGGGGGTGGGGGATGGGTGTTTTAATTGTGCCTTGTTTATGTCGTAGATAAATATCTGGTATATTATAAAGATTGTTCATATAGAAAATAATTTGAAAAATAAAAAAGCCTCTAAATATTCCTTTTAAGTGTCACAATATATGATTTGATGGAGACAAAGAAAATTGAAAAAGAAATAAGCTTTCATGTTTTTGGAACCAAAATTAAGGAAAGACAGTTCTTAAATAAAAAAAGACATGAGTGAACTACTGTTCTCAGCATTGATTATATTGTAGAAAATTGTCAAACTGACAAGAGATTTATACTATGTTCAAAGTAGTTATTTTCAGGTTTTAATAAGTTGTATTTATTTGAATGACACTTGAGTAAAAATATCAGTATTCATTTTTTAACAAATATCAAAATGTTATTTCAAAACAGTCAGCTTTTGTTGTTATTATGAAAAGAGGAGTAGCATGCTAGTGATTTTTGGGACTCGGATAATTGAGTCCTGGACTCATGCTTAATCAGTGGGACTCGCTCAAATTTTCAGACCCAACTGTATCTCTCTATGTCATGAAACTCCCACAAAAATTATTGTTATACAATGTGTGAAACATGTAATTAAAGTTATGTCAAGGCAGAGTGGCAAAAATTGAAGACTTAATAGCAGTGTCTATGAATTTCTTATCCTATCGAATGATAATATACATTCATATATAACTGTACTAGTTATATAAGTTCACTTAATGTGTGACATTTTGTTTGTACACATTTTTCTTTTTTTATGAGGTATCATTAGTTATGTTTATCAACAGCAATTGTTGACAGAAAAATCTGTGAAGGAGTTGAACATTTTTTGTAGGAATCTTATCATTTTATAGAAAACTAGATATTATTTTGTTGAAGTATTAGAAAATTTTATTATGTTTTCATAAAACACTTTTATTCATTCCCACTCATGGTCTGATGAGGATAAAATGATTTTGTTTGCTCAAACTTTTTGTTTAAAATCATGCATGCTTGTGTACATGAAATGATTTTATGTAATTAAATACCAAAATCAATGGTTCCTAGGATGATAAAAATATTGTCTGTATCTATTATCTATTTCTAAGATTAAAGAGTATGGCAAATTCTGTAAATGTTTGATATCTCTATCCTCCCTTTAACTTTGAATTCAAAGATTAATGATACAGATATTTAAAAAAAATTAAATAAATGTTAAAGTTATGACAGTGATGTAATGTCTACATTAAAATACCAGTAGAAAATAAATAGAAAAATTGTGGCCATTTTCTTTTTTAACTAGACCAAAGTTTGCTCATATACCAACCAGTGCTGGATTATTACAATATCAAAGTTTTGGGACCTGTTTTATTGTACAATTATATAAAGGACCATTCATGGTTTTTATTTTAGCTTTAGAAATATGTACGTCATTTTTTTTATTGATATGAATTTATACTATTTCAGTAGAAGACTTTATACATTCTACTTTTGTATTAAGTTTATTTTGTGTTTAAGTATTTGTTTTTCATCACAGACAAAATTGTGTGCCAAAAATTATGTCAATTTAGATGCATAGTCCATCTCAATAGTTCATGTTCAGTCATTTTTACATCTCTAATTACTAATTTATTAATTGCTATAACACATATATATTCTTTTTATCATGCAGAATTGTATGATGATACCATATATAATCTTTATTGGACATAATGTTGCACTGTATTTTTGTTTTTTTTGTTTTGCTCTTTTGATAATATAAGTTCCAAAAATTGGGACAAATTGAATTATATAAAAAGATTCACCAATCAAACATACTGAATAATTCAAAAATGAAAGATTCTGTTCTGTTATTTTTATATAACAGAAATGTTTTTTTTTAGTTTTTTTTTGCAATAAATATGAAATTTAAAAACATGGTGACAGGTAAGTAAATAATTCTTAATCTTACAATCAAAATCTAGAAATTATGACTGAAATCAAACAAGAAATATAAAGTTTTTTTCTTATGATTCAAGTCAGAACTGCAGTTCCAAGATTTCCCTGTTTTGTAATAACCATAAAATTTCAGAACATTATAAGAAATAAATGTAATGAAGTTTGTTTAATTTTGGGAATATGTAATTATTCAACTTCCAAATATTTGTTACAAAGACAGATTGTAATGTATATGACGGTGTTTTGTTAAGGCTCATATAAATGGTTGTACACCCTATTTTAGTGAAATAATTTTTAACACTTTATGTTTAATGATAATTTAAACATATGTACCAGTTGTACTCTTATATATATATAGCAGTTGTAGCAATTATACACACATATATATATAAGTATAAAAAATTTTGCTGTATATGTATTATACAAGTGTATCTCGAGTAAGCTTTGATAATTCAGATCAGTGTGGCATGGAGTGCACATATTTAGGTGCCACAGATGATTTAAAGGTGTGAACTTTTTTGGCATAGATATTTCAGGCTAGGATTCTTTGCATTAAGTCTTTGCAATAGAAATTTTTTCTCTGTCTGTATAAATCTTAAATACATAAATTTCCTGATCGGGTCAAGTGCACATATTTTTGAGTTGTGATAGTTTTATGTAAAGAAATAATTACCTGGTAATGACAATGAAAAAACAGAAGAATTTCAAGTTTTATCATAGATGGCCATGTGTAACACCAGTGGCATCTCTTTCTAGATAATTTCTTCAAGGAGTCTTGTTCTTTCATCATATTACTCGGTGTCATATGTCACAGCATGGTTCAGAATATATCCAAAATTCCAATCAACTATGTTTTCTAGCTAGTCCAGAATGATACTGTGTGAAAGATTGGAAACAAAATGTCAAAATAATTTTGTTACACTTTGTAGAATTTGGATTGTACATCTCTATTTAAAACTGCCACCCTGATCTCTTCCCATGGATTTTGTGTTTATTTTCTGTGTAACTTTACCTCCATATATATTTTATGCTTTAGTTGAAGTTTGTGAATAGTGTATCATTTTAACTGTTTACATGTGCATTTGATCTTGATCTGCTGTGCTTGTGAAATGCAAATTTATTGTGTGATTTTTTTTTTGCTTGTTTAAAAGGTCAGATCTGTTTCTTGTGAATTGCTTTGTTGAGATTGTATTTCCAAGTGAAGATTGTTTTTCCAAAAGAAGATGAAAGGTTGTAAAGTAGTCAGGTTTAGAGCACAGGAAATTTATGTTTGTGTCTGTCTTAACAGAACAGAAAGAAAGATGAAATGAAATCTTTCATTAAGGGTAAATCTGTAGATTTTTTGCTTTAGTAATTAAATCTTATGTTCCTTCAGGACAAAAAAAATGAAACCCAAACTTTAATAAAAAAAAAGGTACAAAAAATGTAGTTTTAATCAGAAAGTATTGAAAC